CTAATCGAGTTAGCTCCATTAACTGCACAATGTCGTTTTGGAAATGTCTCAAAAAATTTAAAGTCGCGTATGTAAAACATTGCTACACCAAATTAAGGGTTTCTAGTCAATGTGGTCCTTTGGCCACCAACTAACTACTGACCTTATAAGATATGTGTATTTGTTTTGTATAAATATATTATTATACTACAATATTTTAATATTAAATTATTTTTACATAAAAGAATTGTGGGAGAAAATGAATGGCCGAAGAATAAAAAAAATTAATGGTGAAGGAAAATATATTATCATACTATTTAAAGTACTGCACTAAATTAGGTAGGACAATAGGAGGGCAAAATAGTTTTTTTTTTTTCAAGATAATCTCAATACCAAGTCTTCCATCCATGTGATTCACAGGGTTTGTTTTTCACAATTTATAGGAGTTGATTATAACTCATTTTAATTTAGAAATTTGTACCAAATTATTTGGTATTGCTTTTGTTTATAACTTTTTAGGCAGAAATAAGTTAAATAAATTGAAAAACCCTAATTATATAGAACCTAGGAGAGGAGTGTTTTTTATTTCTACTTTCTAATTATCAATTTTTAACTTTTTTTTCTATTAGCAAAAATTAACTTTATTCAATTAGAACCAAGGATAAATCCTTACATCTTACATCGATAAAGATTGACAAAAGCAGTGCTAATAGCATCATAGTGGACCTTGCTCATCCCAACTAGGTTGGTACAAGAAAAACCACTCAATCACGTGCTTACACTTGCCAAAAGATAGTGGATGAGAGCTCAAGCAGCAGAAAGAAAAACCAACCAGCAGAGAAAAACAACAGCAGTAGCCATAGCTATACCACTATAACCCAAAGCAAAGAAATAAACATCAGCAGCCACAACTCAAAGCCCCTTGATAGACTTCAAATTATAAAGTGTTGGTGATAATTACAAATAACACACCAGAAAATACAAATAATAAAATTACAATAACTTATTATCAGAGCTGAGGCGCGGGAAACTCGCTCTCTTTAAGGAGATTCAAGCCCTCTGCGGTTAGGCAAAGCCTCACACTGGTGCAGCAGAAAAAACCTTGACTTGTCCCCCCCAGGATACAGCAGCCCGACTAAGTCATATGGTTCACCAATACTGCACAATTGGTTGAACCCAAAGCTTTATCACACACACCCTTTTTTATTTGCCTAATAATCTCACTCAAGACATAACCAAACAACCAAAATTTCTTCACTTCTCGTATGTCAAGATAGGACACATGTCCAATATATAAAAATAAAAGCTTGTTAGGCGATTGCCTTGGTGGATAAGAGCATGATAAAGACTTGGATGACTTAATGGATAAGTCTTGGTGGACTTGGAAGGATAAGCATGGGAGACTTGACTTGGAAGACTTGGACTTGGAAAGCTTAGTTTGGAAGGAAGGAATGGATAGGAGACTTAGCTAGGAAGTCATGGAGACTAGGAACACTAATTGGATAAGTCTTGCAAGGCCTTATCTTGTAAGGCTTTGGATGGATAAGCAAGGGGAGGCTAGGAGAAGACAAAAAAAACCAACTTATCACACATTATAATATTAAAATACCGCTAACATTCCCCCACCTATTTTAATATTATAGGTAACAAAAACTGAGATTATTAGGCAAATAATGATATTATGCATCATGGTAGGTGTGCTCTGCATTGAACCTCCATTAGTGAAACAATAATATCTACTCCAGAGCCAATTGTATGCTCAGCATTGAACTATGACTACTTAAGGGAAATAAATAATTATTGCACACACATAATATTCCAGGTGTTCACAAAAGCTTTAAAAGCTAGCACATTACGGCCTTGTCCGATCCCAGGATTCATGAGTGTGTTTGAGAATTAGCCCAAATCTCATAGGTAGCGGCCCCACTACCACACTCACATAGGTGAATTCTGTCAAGGGTGCTCCTGTAACTATGACACCCCACTCAATAAGAGCTACAGAAATTCATTAAGAGTTTTTTTTAATAACTCAACCTCTACAACGTTGCAAGATAAATGCACTTACATCATAGGGATGGGTAAAAACTAATTTAGTGCATTTCTCACGGCCATCATATGATCGTTTTTCTCATTGAACCCAGTTACAGGATCTCTGGTCCCTAGGTTGAGTATCCTCATACATGGCTCCTGCTATATTCAATGGGCTTCAGCCCCCTCCCCCTCGATGTATTCCAGACTCTATCTCTTGCTAAGGCCTTAGTTAATGGATCAGCAAGATTATCACCAGATTTAATATAATCCACATTTATAATGCCATTATTCATATAAGATCTCACAGTACTGTGTTTTCTTCTGATAGGTCTGGATTTACCATTATAATAACGGTTATTAACTCAACCAATTGCTGCGGTGCTATCACAATAAATCAATATAGGTGGAATCGGTTTTTCCCAACAAGAGATTTCATTTAACAAATCTCTCAACCAATTTGCTTCTTCACTAGCTGTAGCTAAAGCAATAAGCTCAGCCTCCATTGTTGAATTAGCAATAATAGTTTGTTTTTTCGATTTCCAACTTATAGCACCACCGCCCAATGTAAATAAGTAACCAGTGGTTGATAATGAATCACCTGACAAGGTATTCAATCGGCATCACTGTAACCTTCATACTGCAGGATACTTATTATAAAACAAGCCATATTTTATGGTACCAGATAAATATTCATAATACGCTCAATGGCTAGCCAGTGATCACTGCAGGCTTGCTAGTAAACCTGCTAAGTACTCCAACTGCTATAGGCAATGTCAGTCTAGTACAGTCAGTCGCATAACGCAAGCTACCAACATACAATACTAGCAACCTTTTGATTGATTAAACTCATCATTCAAGGAAATAAACGCACATGAGGATCCAAAAGGAGTAAGACACAATCTGCTTGCAGTTATAAAAATTATATTTTCTCAAAATTTTCTCAACATAATGCGACTGATCAGAAATATACCATCACAGGTTTAGTAATTTCATTCCCAAAATATAATTAGCCTCACCAAGATCTTCATATCAAAAATGGCTACAAAGCATATTTTTAGTTTCCACGATGATATGCAAAATTAGGCCAAATATTACTATCTTACATAAAGTAGCAATATCACGTAATCCATTACAAAAGAAGGAACATAGAATTACACATAGCCATAGAGTAGAATTTTGATCTGTCAAAAGAATATATACAAAGCGATATAATGCAATTTATAGACACCACAATTGTCATTACGGCTCTCTAATAAAGTACCACATTCGTTCAATCATGCAGGATCCAATACACACTAATTTCTTCATGCCACCTGCTTTATAGGGCCCTGTCTTAACCACTATAGGGAATTCTAAAACCTATGCTTGCTACCAAGCACGTTGCCTTCGGAGCCAACGAGTATACCACAAAACCCTACAGGTTATGATCCTAACCTTAATCCAAGAATTATATCAGATCACCTCCAACGGATCTCCATTCCACACAAAAAAGGTGCACTGTCTTTCTAAACCCACCGATTTGAGTGTAGTGACAGTCCTGTTCAGCACATCCTGGCTGTGCGACGCCACTCGCACAAAATAATAATCTCAAATGGACTGTAACATACTAGTAACCACGGCCGAGATAATATCTGTAATCCGCACACAAGAGTAAAACAATACTTGCCAGGACCGCCTAATATGTTAAAAAAACACATTCTTATCACAAAGCACAAGTTCCAAAATCTAGGCAAATCTTTTATCAATAGATAAACACACACCGAAAACCAAACGGTTAAGACTGTTCTCCAACCAACATACTCAGCAACCAAGCCTATTACAACCTGGTGGTAAATCTACTAATACCCAAGTTTTATTGGATAATAATGATTCCATCTCATCATTTACGGTCTCGTTCCAAAAAATAGAGTCAGGAGATGCCAAAGCTTCTTGTAAAGTTAATGGAGTTTCCTCCACATTAAAAACATGATAATTAGGGCCAAAATCTTTTACTAATCTGGCTCTTTTACTTCTTCTTAGTTCAAAAACTACAGTATCTTGGTTTTGTAAAAGAGAAGTAGAGGAACCGGTTTCTGATAAAATATTTTCTCAATAATTTTGACCCCTACCATTTTTAGATTTAAAAGGAAATTTTTCTTCATGAAAAATTGCATCACCTCATTCAAAAATTATTTTGTTTTCAATATCAAAAAATCTATAGGCTGTACTATTTGTTGCATATCCAAGAAAAACACAAGTGGCGGCTTTCACACCTAAAAAAGCTAGACAATCCCAAACCCTCAAATATCTCAAATTTTGCTTATGCCCTTTCCACAACTCAAAAGGTGTAACTTTTGTTTTTTTATGTGGCACTCTATTCATAACATAACATGCAATTAAAATTGCTTCTCCCCACAAATTTGAAGGAGCACCTGCTTCAATTAACATAGCATTTGTTAAATCAGTTAAAGTTCTATTTTTCCTTTCTACTACACCATTAGATGCAGGTGAATATGGTGGAGTAGTTTCATGGATTATTCCCAAAGACTGAGCAAACGAGTTGAATCCAAAAGATTCATACTCCCGGCCTCTATCACTTCTATATCTTTTAACCTTTTTACCGAATTGATTTTCAACTTCAAGAAGGAATTCTTTAAATTTTTCAAAAGCATCACTTTTATTTTTCAACAAGTATACATAAGTATATTTTGAAAAATCATCAATAAAAGTGATAAAATATCTATTTCCCCCACGTGTTAAAATTCCTTCAAATTCACATAAATCAGTGTGAATTAATTCTAACAATTCAGTATTTCTCACCACACTTTTATGAGGCCTTTTAGTTCTTTTTGCTTGACTGCAAACTTCACATTTCTCAAACTTATTTGTTAGTCTAAGAATTAATCCTAAAGTACTCATGACTCCTACATATCGGCTATTAATATGACATAGACGAGCATGCCAAAAATTTATAGAAGACAACATGTAAACAGAAACATGTGCTTTCTTATTCTCAACATTTAATTTAAACATTCCATCACAGGCATACCCTTTTCCCACAAATATGCCTTTTTTAGTGATTACATATTGGTCAGATTCGATAGTCTGCTTAAAACCAGCTTTATTGAGCAAATAACTCGACATCAAATTTTTCCTCATGGATGGTGTGTACAACACATCTTTTAAAACAAGCACGCGTCCAGAGGTAAAATTCAGCTCAACATCCCCACACCCGAGTACCTTGGTTAAACTAGAGTCACCAAGCATAACAGTCTTCTCCTCATTAAAAGGAGTGAAATCTTTGAACCAATCTTTATCATAGCAGACATGCCTATTGGCACCAGAGTCTGCCCACCACCCTTCTACAGATTGAACCATAAAAATATCTGTGATCATAGCCACAAATGGTTCCTCGGTAACATTAGCCTGTGGTCGAGGCTGTTGTTTCCGAAATTTGCAAGTTCGAGCAATATGCCCACTTTTGCCACACACAAAACATGTCACATTTGTCAAATCTTGTGAAGAGGGTTCTTGGTTCCATTTCTTTTGCCTCGGGTAATTTTTATTTTGTGGCCTCCCAGTATTTTTCCAGATTTTCTTAACTGGCTTCAAATGACTATTTTTATGAAATCGACATTTAGGTAAAGTATTTCCAGAAGCTAAATTTACCTTTGCAGTGGAATGCTCTTGTGTCATAAGCGCATCTTGTCCTCGTGCTTCCTCCTCCACCCGAATCCGTGTGATTAGAGTCTCCAAGGACGTCTCATTTTGCTTGTAACGCATTGACTTCTGGAACTCCCTCCAAGATGATGGAAGTTTGTCAACAATACCTGCTACAACAAGATTGTCTCCAATTTTGATGCCTTCAGATCTAACTTCAGCTACTAACATCTGAAAATCTTGAACTTGCTCCACCACTGATTTTCCATCTATCATCTGATAGCGGAAAAAATGACTTGCCGCATATTTTTTGTGCCTGCCTCTTCAGTGTCATATTTGTTCTGCAAGGCTTTCCAAATTTTCTTGGCAGTGGTGTAAGTATTATCACAATAATCATAAAATTGATCTGAAAGACAATCCAAAAGATAGTATCGACATTTATACTCATCTGCGTTGTATTTCTCGATTTTTTCAAGATGAGTAGCATACTCCTCGTCGGTCATCTTTTCAGTGGGGACTTTGTTTGGATTTTTCTCGGTCAGGATAAAAGCCACCTTGAGGAGACTGAGGTAGAAAAGCACCTTGCCTTTCCATCTCTTGAAATGAGCTCCCTTGAACCGGAAGGGCTTGTTGAGATCGCCGGTATTCTCGTTGGGCTTCTCCAGCATTGGCTCCATGAACTTTTGCTATTTGAATCTCCTTAAAATTGTTGGTGATAATTTCAAATAACACACCAGAAAATACAAATAATAAAATTACAATAACTTATTATCAGGGCTGAGGCGCGGGAAACTCGCTCTCTTTAAGGAGATTCAAGCCCTCTGCGGTTAGGCAAAGCCTCACACTGGTGCAGCAGAAAAAACCTTGACTTGTCCCCCCCAGGATACAGCAGCCCGACTAAGTCATATGGTTCACCAATACTGCACAATTGGTTGAACCCAAAGCTTTATCACACACACCCTTTTTTATTTGCCTAATAATCTCACTCAAGACATAACCAAACAACCAAAATTTCTTCACTTCTCGTATGTCAAGATAGGACACATGTCCAATATATAGAAATAAAAGCTTGTTAGGCGATTGCCTTGGTGGATAAGAGCATGATAAAGACTTGGATGACTTAATGGATAAGTCTTGGTGGACTTGGAAGGATAAGCATGGAAGACTTGACTTGGAAGGCTTGGACTTGGAAAGCTTAGTTTGGAAGGAAGGAATGGATAGGAGACTTAGCTAGGAAGTCATGGAGACTAGGAACACTAATTGGATAAGTCTTGCAAGGCCTTATCTTGTAAGGCTTTGGATGGATAAGCAAGGGGAGACTAGGAGAAGACAAAAAAAACCAACTTATAACACATTATAATATTAAAATACCGCTAACATAAAGTAAATCATTAACTAAAAAATACACCCCCTTAGTATGGTACTTCACGAAAAAAGCAATGTGCAACTTAATGGATTCACAAACTTCACACCAATTAACCAATGATCCAACAAATTTGATTTCATTCCTAGCCTTCCACACAAACCACATAACCAAAGATGGCAAGGCATGCCACATACACTTGAGCATTTCTTAAATTTAAAGCCACTCCACCAATCCAACAACTGATTAATAGTTTCAGAAACAACCCACACCAAACACCACCACTTTACCAAGTTAGACCAGATACTCGGGGCAAAATGACAATGAAAGAGAACATGACTCACATCTTCAGCACATAAATTACAAAAACAGCATATAAAGGTTCCATTAGGATCTAGAGCATCAATATTTTGAAGGAACACAGATGTTTTAAGCCTACCTCTCCATACCGACCAACACGTGAACTGCATTTTTGGTGGAGAGATACACTTCCATAGCAAACTCCACCAAAATTTATCAATTTTTAACTTACAATAAACTGCACCAAATAGATCAATTGTTTGCTCGGATAGGACTAGCAATCCGTTGAAACTAGTTGCAAACAAACACTATATTAATAGGCCGAACTCACTATAAGTTCCAATCAAATGGCTTACGAACCACCAGGGGTGGTGGTGGAGTGGAAAGGTGTCTTCCTTCCACACAGGTGAGCAAAGCTCGATTCTTGGGAGCGTGTTAGCGGCCCGTTTTTTCAAACAGTTGAAGCTAACTGTGTTATACTCCGCTCGTGACTCTACCTCCTATACTGAGGGTGCATTCCTTTATTGCTCCAGTAATGAGTCCCTTCCTTTGAGTTGGATTAAATCTGGCTGGTAACTGATTATTTTGGAGTCAGGACTCATGAACACTATGATATCCCCACGAAACGTCTTTTTTATATTAAAAAAATAAACACATGGCTTATCTCTAAAAAGAAACATTCATAATCCATGCACACAACAATTTCAAACTATTAAAACAGACGTGAATTATAAAATGAAAAGATAATATAAAAAAATTAACCAGCTTAATGCCTAGACTTAGTAGCCGATGTATAAGATTTTACTAAGCTTGAAAGGCTACTTATTCAATATTTCAATTGGTCTCAACCGAGTATTTGGTTTGGATTTGTCGAGTGGCATAAAAATAGATCTCACTCGCTGAATCAAGTGCAGAGATTAATAATTTTAAAAGGATTTATTAAGCATCGTTCAATAGGCGATAGTAAATACTGATATTCATTTAAAAAATATCTATATATAATCTACTACTATTATAAAAGTTTGAAGAGTCTGCCAAGTTTTCTATTTTTTTAAAATACCAATTTTACCTACTCAAATCTATTATATTTTCTAAAAGTCATGAAGAGTCCTATATAAACCAACTATTTCTTTATTTTTAGAGTTGAATATTCAAAAATGATATATCTGCTTCCAAGAGCCTTATATAAATATAAACAAACAGTTTTCCCGTCTCCCTATTTTTTACATTGATGATGATTGAAAAATAAAAAATAATTACTCTTTCTTATTTCTAAAGTCTGCTTCTATATTACAATTGTCCATCATGGATCAAATCACTGTGAATAATTTTGGTTGACCTTAAAGTTGTATGCATTTGTTTGAATCTAGACAGAGGAAAGCGCCTATGTTTTTAAAACAGAAATTTGTGCTGCATCCCAAATTTCACAAGTTATTTTTATATACTTTCTTTTTGTTTAAATTATATTTTATGAACTGTAATATTTTATATGATAATTTAATAACTAAGATACGATGTCAAAATTCTAAACAAGAACTATTTTCGTTGATTTATTTTTTTATGCTATTTTTTTTATTTTTTTATTTTTTATATTTTCTCAGTTTTGGTTATTACACATGGTGGAATTTCTTCATATTTTATATTTAAATTATATTTTTACATGAAAATATAATATCTAATAATCTAAATAGAATTAAAAAGTAAAATACTGGTAAAAATATTTATAAAGTCAAACATGCGCTATTTTTTATTATTATATATTTTTTTCCAAAAAGAATACACAACAAATTATTTTCTATATTCAGATTAAGTGAAATCTAAAAGTAAAATTAAAAAATTAAAAAATGTATTAAATTAAGTGAATCTGAAAAGACAATAAAAGGGTTATTAAAATAATTTTTTTTTTTAAAAAAAAAAATCTATGTCTACTAGCTAAGTGGTGGTGGAGGTTTGGGTGTGTGGAGAAGGCTCTTTGGAAAGACATTATTTGCAATAAATATAAATATGCTCCAAAGTCTTGGTTGCCTTTAATTGATCCCCACATTAGTGGATCTAGAGTTTGGACTGACTTATTGTCAGTAGTTGTTTCTAGGCCTCTCTTCTTTGATTTCCTGCACTCCAATGTTAGTATTGTTTTAGGAGATGGTAATAGATGCTCTTTCTAGAATGATTCATGGCTTGGTGCGGGTTGTTTGAAGTTGGCTTTCCCTAGATTGTTTCTACTTTCACAAGATAAAGAAACCACTGTTTTTGATGTTTTGAGTAGAAGGTCTTCATCTAATGGGTGGGTCTTCATCTGAAGATTTCTTTTACTCTTGTTCATTTGCTCAATTTTGTCCCAGAGTCAAGAACGGGTGTGGAGGATAAATTGGTGTGGACTTTTGGTGCCTCAGGGGTCTATTTAGTGAAATCAGCTTATGAGTGGCTTTCTTTGAATGACAGTTCAAGTCTAGTGGTGCCTAGTTTGTTATGGAAGGGTATCTCTCCATAAAAAATGCAGTTCACATGTTGGTTTGCAGGGAGATGTAGACTTAAAACATATGTGTTTCTTCAAAATATCAGCTTATTTGGTTCTAGTATTCAAAAAATAATTTTCAAAAAATTTTAATTTTTTATTTTTCGTATTTTAATATTTTCAATGAAATTTTTAATATTTTAAGAAATTTTTTTTTTAAAACTTTTTAGACACACCTAACATAAATATACTTAAAAAAATAGAATATTTGTGAAAAAAATATTTAAAAAATACACTAAATATCAAAAAATACAAAAAAAATGAAAATTCAGTACATTTTTCATATTTTTGTGTATTTATTAATTTTTTAAAATAATTTTTCACAAATATTTTACTATTTAGATATATCTTTAGGTGTTGTTTGGTGCATCTAAAAAAGTAAAAAAAATATATATTTTGTAAAAACTAAAAAAAAAGTATGGTGCATGTAAAAAAGTAAAAAAAAAAACAGTTACTTAAAATTTAAAAAATATTAACTAAAAACTAAAAAATATGGGAAAAAAAATCAGTTTTCAGAAAACTGAAACCAAACACATTGATTGGTGCTCTGGATCCCAGTGGAACCTTTCTGTGCTATTCTTGTAATTCCTGTGCTGAAGATGTGAGTCATGTTTTCCTTCATTGTCATTTTTACTGGAGTATCTAGCTTGACTTGGTAAAGTGGTGAAGTTTGGCATGGGTTGTGCCTGAAACTATTAATCAGATGCTGGATTGGCGGAGTGGCTTTAAATTTAAGAAATTTTATCACTGAATTGGGCAAAGTAAGCAAATCTGTCATTGTATATCAAATTTTATCACTGAATTAGCAAAAGTAAGCAAATCCATCATTGTATAGCAAATGAACATGAAGATATGATTATTATGAAGTTGAATATTACTCATAAATTAATACTATATAATACACATTGAAAATAGCTTCAAGTCGAATTTTATTACTCCATTATAGTTATGAAAGAAGAAGGGAAGCAAATCCATAGTTGGGAAATAAGAAGGGAAGTATATCCATCATTATAACAAATTTTATCACTCAATTAGGAAAATTAAGCAAATCTATCATCCTTACAGAAAATTTTCTCACTAAATTGGGCAAAGTAAGCAAATCTATTATCGTATAACAAATTTTATCATTAAATTAGCAAAAGTAAGCAAATCCATCATTGTATAGCAAATGAACATGAAGATGTGATTATTATGAAGT